GAGACTGGTATGTCACACATCACAAAGTCATCTTCTTTTGCAACTGTTTTCTGGAAAAAGACTAAATTTTAGGAGCTACGGGCTTTTTGCTCTGTATCCTCTTCATATGTTCTGTCAATTTTTCATTTAAATTTTTTTTCATTTTACATACCAACCTCAGTTCCCCCTCCCTCCCCTTCTCCAGATACCTCCACCTCCTCCCATGCCTCAACCATCCTCTCCTCATAGGGGGTAATGCCTTTCTTGGGAAGTCAGCAAAAGCATGCCAAGTTGAGGCAGGACTAACAAACTCCTCCTCTACATCAAACCTGAGCAAGGTATCCCACCATAACGAATGGGCTTCAAAAAGCCGGTTCATACACCTAGGATAAGTCCTGGTCCCACTGCCAGGCGTCCCAAAAACAGATTAAGCCAAGCAACTGTTATCCACATTCAGAGGGCCTAGTTCTGTCCCCTTCAGGTTTCCTAACTGTCAGTCCAGAGTCCATGAGCTTCCACAGCTCTGGTCAGCTGTTCTTGTGATTTTCCCCATCATGATCTTGACCCCCTTTCTCATGTAATCCCTCTTCCCTCTCTTCAACTGATCTCCAGGAGTTCAGCCCAGTGTGTGGCTATGGATCACTGCATCTGCTTCCATCAGTTAATGGATGTAGGTTCTATGATCACTGTGTTCCTTTAGCAGAACAATAGTATCTGGTTTTTGGCCAGGTCCATGGTCTATCTACTTAGTTTCTTGGTCACCTTAGCAGTATCAGGTATGCCTTCCATCTCCTGGAGTCAGCCTTAAATCCAATCAGAAAGTGGCTGGTAACTGCCATAGTATTTGTGCTACTATTATATCAATCCATTTTGCAAATGAGTCACTGTTGTCCTAGTGTTTGTAACTGGATGATAGTGATGATTATCTTTTTCCTTCAGTAGAATGCAGAGTACATTCCTGTATCATGAATGTCAGTCAGTAGAAGTGAAGTTTTTAGTTATGCACCAGTTCAACTTCTCTATGTTGGCTGACATACATGGGTGTTGTCTTCAGCAATAGGGCATAACAATAAGGTTGTGTGTAAGCAATTGTCTTGGCAGTAGATGTTAGCTTTGGGGGTTTCCACAGGGCCCTTTTCCAGCTATGCAGCAAGATGGAACACAATCATGTCACCGGACAAAAGCTGTTTTCTTGAGAATTTTTTTCAATGAATATTTGACTATACTTCTCATTATTGATCTACTCAGTGTTTTATATGATCTCTTTACAGTTTTGGTAGTTTACATATGTTTAGAAATTTGGTCATTTGCTGCAGTTTTGCAATTAATACCAGTGTAGTGTTTGAAAAATACTTCCAAATGAAGGATTAGAGGAACCAGAGGCGTCAGGGACAGCATGGGAACACAGCCTACAGAATCAATTGACTGGGACTCATGGGGGCTCACAGAGATCAGGGAGCCTGTAGGGGTTTGACCTACATCCTCTGCATTTATGTTTTAGCTGACTACTTTGATGTTATTGTGGGATTCCTAGCAGTGGGAGTGGGTTGATCGATGACTTTTTTGCCTATTTATGGGACCCTTTTATTCTTACTAGGTTGTTTTGTCCTGCCTTAATGTGACAATAAGTGCCTGGTCTATAATAATATATTATGCCATGCTTGGTTGATGTCCCTGGGAAGCTTGCCCTTTTCTGAGGGGAGATGGAGGGAGAGTAGAACTGGATAAGAGGGGAGGAGGGTCTGGGGGAGGTAAGAGAGGGAAAATTATGGTCAGATTGTAATATGTGAGAGAAGAATAAAAAATTGTCTTCACTGTTAAAAGAATACAGATAAAAGTACTAAAAAACTTGAACAATTGGAATGAGCAAAGTGTTGACATTATTGACTCCTAAGTAGCCTTTCTGGTATATCTCTACACAGAGAACAGAGAAACCTTTGAGATATCGCCCTCATACTTATCATGTTATCAGGAAACCTGCTTGTTACACTTGCCTTTATAGAAACATTGTCAGATCTGAAAAAATAGAGAAGTAGAAGAAAATAATGTTACTTGAATAATCATGTTTGAAATTATTAAAATATTAAAAATTCAATTAAAGATAAGTTGCAAATGTACATATGGTTTAAAAATATATGATTGAGATCATGGATTTCTAAGAAATGTTTCATGAATTGAGTTAGAGAAAAGCAAATAACTATAACTAATAAAGAATGATATTCCACATTATTTAGAGACCACTTTTTAGTATAGTATAAACAAATGTAATATCATATTCACCAAATTGTCTCAGAGTAAAATATACCATTTGGGAACAGGAAAAATATGTAATCTTGATGGAATAGACTGGTAAAGGATTACTTTAAAATGTGGTAACAGAAATTCTTTTTTTGAAAATTATATTCCTGTCCCTCATCATAGGACAGCATCTGCTAAATTATGCTTCCTGATTTTTTCTAGTCCCTCTGATTTAGTTTTTTCTCCAGAAATATTGATTCCATGTTACTATTTGTAGTCTATAATTTCATAAAGAAAGTATCCCAACTGTTTATGGTTAAACTATTTCCATTGTTTCAGTTATTCAGGACTCAGGAGTGAACAAGGAAGCAAAATTTATTCCCAAGACTGCATATGAAATTGTGTGGTTTGCATAGATTTATTGACACATTTTACCTTCAAGAAATGTTTACACAATAGGTATATCATCTCCATATCAAAATAAAAGCCCTTGTTGATTGCCAAAAAAAATACTTCCAAGTGATTCTTTAGATTTTAGCCATTGTTTGCTGTAACAGCACTACAGTTTGGCCATAGATTTACACTGTGTTTTTTCCTTCTTGATCCCTTTTGGTAAGATGTCTGTTTTGTTCTTCCTTTTCAATAATCAAGCCTTTATGCCTTTGGCATGTTCATCATTGTTCAATTCCTTAGGTTCAGTT